CAGCCCGGAGAACCCTGGTCGCCATCGAGCATGCCCCGGAGTGCATACCGCATATTCCTCGGTGGATCTCCTCGATGACGTAGGTGGCTTGGGACTTTGTTAAGCATTTCAACAGGGGAGTCAAGATGTCGCACTTGAACAGCTCGTCTCCGATGATGACAAACTTGGATGACCTTACCCTCATCTTCTGAGTTTCATCTTTATCTTTGGGCAGAGTTCCCTCCTTTAAGTAGCTCCATATACCTGTCATCCATCCTTGATCTTCATTATCATTGGCGTTGACGACTTTATTGTCTAGACTGGGTGAATTCAGAGTCTCTTGGATGATGGTCAAATGTTGTCCGGGGCACTTTGTACTGGTGAGCTTGGACAGGAGATCGAATCTGACATTCTTCTCTTAGGGCACATGGTGTATGGTGAACTCATCAAAGGATGCGATCCTCTGGGATGCTGCATGAAAGTACCTTTGTAGTAGGGTGTCCTTGGTCTGGTATGCCCCACTGAGTTGTTCTACCATGAGTTTTGAGTCACTATTGCAACTCACCCTTTACATCTGTATAATGGCATTGCATTTCTCCGGGTTGGCTTCGATTCCCCTGCTGGTGATCATAAAACCAATAAATTTACCCTCCTGGACACCGAAAATGCACTTTTCTGGGTTTAGGCGCATGTTGTGCTTCCGGATTTGGTTGAACACCTCGGCCAAGTCGTCGGCATGAGCCTCGGCTGACGGTGTTTTGACAATCATGTCGTCTACGTACACCTCCATATTCCTCCCAATTTGGTGCTGGAAGACTTTATCCATCAACCGCTGGTAAGTGGCCCCAACATCTTTGAGGCCGAAAGGCATAACGCGGTAGCAGAAGTTGGCATGATCAGTGATGAAGGCCGTGTGCTCCTCGTCTGGTGGGTACATTGTACCTAGAATATGCGTCTAGGAAGCTGAGGAGGGCATGGCCGGAGGCGCCGTCTACCAATCTATCGATGCTCGGTAGGGGGTATGAATCTTTAGGGCAGGCCTTGTTCAAGTCGATTTAGTCGACGCACATAAGCCATTTTCTTGAGTTCTTTTTAACAAGTACCACATTCGCCAGCCACGTGGTATACCGGACTTCTTGGATGAACCCTGTCTTTATTAGCTTTTGCGTCTTGGCTATGATAGCTTCTCGTCTCTCACCGTCGACCTTTCGTTTCCTCTAGGCCACCGATTTGGCCTCTCTATGGATTGCCAACCTGTGACAGATAAGGTTAGGGTCTATACCTGGCATGTTAGCGCTGGACCATGCAAAGAGGTCAGCATTTTTGAAGATTTCGGCTTCAAGTTGTTGCCGTAACTTCGTTCTCAAGTGTTGGCTTATCTTGGTGCATTGGCCGGGTCGATTGGACTTGGTCGGTTGTCATAGGATTTCGACCTCGGGTCCAGGTTAGTGATGTCCTCCTGAGTGATATGGGCGATAGTAAGGGGGTCACGTCGGCGGTGCTCCTCTAATGGCGAAACCTTCAGGCTTTCGGCATAGTATTGTCAAGCTATCTTCTGGTTTGCCCTAACTGAGATGATTTTCCCGTTGCTCCCTAGGAATTCCATTGTCAGGTGCGGGGTAGATACCATAGCCTCAAGTTGGTTCAACGACGTCCTGCCGATGATGTTGGTATACGACGTGTTGGCCTCAACGAGGAGGTATCTGACCATGATCCTCCTTGAGTCAGGAGGGGTCCCGAAGGTTGTCAGTAGGTCTATGTATCCTCGAGTGTCGACTCGTTCTCCTGTAAAACTGACTAGGGATTCTGTGTGAGGTTGAATGAGGGAGTGGGGGATATCTAACCTTAGGAATGTCGGCCAGTATAGGACGTCAGCCGAGCTTCCCTGGTTGATCAACGTCTGATGGACGTCCCAGTTAGCTACTTCCACCGCGATGACCATGGGATCGTCCTGGTTTGGACAAATGCCAGTGTAGTCATCATCAGTGAAGGTGATGGGTGGCATGTTGCGGTGCGGGGCCGAGGTGGTAGTATGGACATTGTTGATGCTCCGTAAGTGTCTTTTACGCGCCGAGCTACTGGAGCCTCCCCCTGCGAAGGCACCTGCAATTATATTGATGACTCCACGTAGGGGAGTCGTTCCTGTATCATGACTTACCTCGGCTTGCACTATTCTGCCGGTGTTTTGCTGAGATCCGGAGGGTTGATTTGTGCGAGTGCCGGAACCTCGGCGTCGTCCTCATCCTCGTCCATGGTAGCCTCCTCTGTGAGATTGTTGCCG